CCACCATCACAAAGAGCACTCCACATACTAGTTTCTTTTAGAGGCTGGTATCAATGCTGAGGATTTCTTACTCATTCCGATAAGTGATGTTAGCGTGCATGTGAACAAGCTTACTTTGGGTTTAGCTCACTAGGCATTGGCATAATCAGCATTAAGCTTATAGGTAATAGCAGTAGCAAAAAGCTAATTGCTTGCCTGAATAAAGAATCACTCATGGGGTTGACCATTTTATTCTTGCTTGAGAGTTTGGTCTATGGGCCATCTGAATAGCTTCCAAGACCTTCTTCACACAAACATTACATATTTCATTCGAGTATCAGGCTGCTTTTTCTCCGAAAGAAGTCTCACGGCGAAAAAAATCTTCACCAGGATGCCCTTAAAGGTTTCGAGTCTCGTAAAAGAGATTCATAATCAATGCGGAGAATGTTAAAGTTTCATTCCAAACCATCGCTGCTCATTCGAAGTGCACAATTAAACCCCTATAGTTACAGCTCCTAGATCCAGAAAGTGAAAGAGTTAAGGCAAAATCACCTTGTTACTAAATAATACGCGCATTGATATGGTAGCCAATGTATTAACACTGGTGTAAGTAAAGGTTCCAAACTTTGTTCCGCTTTGTAGTAGGTTACTTTCTACCCACTTTAAAGCTTGTTCAAAATTACAGCGAATTTGGCTCAAAATTTATCGCTATCTAAACATCATTGCTATTTTCTGCAGAAAGAGATTCCTCAACTCATTTCACTGAAAAGTTCGACCATACGGCATCAGTAAAATGCAACAAAGACGTTTATGATGGGAGCAAATGGCAAATTTCGACCTATCATTGACCATGGCAAACTCGGGTCGTTACTACTTGAGTAAATTTAGTGGTTTCACTGAAATGGTGACTTAAACTCACTGGTTGTCGTGAGAGCATATCCAGAGCCAATTCGCGAGGTATATGGGGTTGATACCACGGAGCGGAGATGGGCGGGGCGACGTGAGGCGTGGCGGAGATACCACCAGCGGAGGTTTTGAGACTGTCGGAGCCCCCTCCACCACCGCCGCTGCTGCAACTGCCCGAAACGGATACGGCGTCCGTGGCTGCCCGGCGTCTCCGTGGATCCGGACAAGGAGGACTATGGAAACTCTCAGAGGCCTGATCGTAGGCGTTCGGCGAGGAGACTGAGAGACTACAGAGGGAGCGGTATTGCCAACGTCAAAGATGAGCGCTTTAAGCTATGGTTCGGCGACCGTAGGCTCCATTGTTAGACACCTAATCGACAGAGCATTTCTCATAAATTATTGGAAGGTGAATTTGTGCTTGAAGTGGGATAGCGCAACGCGTTGGAAGCTAACAAAACATCCTTGTGTCTTGAAAGTGCTCTCGAAAGGTTTTTTACAAACATTGGGTGATGAACTCAGTGCTAAAAGGCCTTCATCAGAGGGACCTAAGGCGCAAAATACTTAACTGCTCTGAACACTAGCATTAGGAAGGCATAATGTACACATTAAACTCGCTTGGCTCAATAATTAAATTGAAATTCAGAACCCTGCAAGGGGAAATTTTGCATGCGATCCTCGAAAAGGCAACTCCTATTCATTCATTCACTCCTAAACGAACGAAGTTAGTGTAAAGGTGAATTGAAAGTTCACATTGTTTTACTAGTTGGATTGGAAGTGAAACTCGGATTTGAGACAAGATAGTACACGGTAGATAAGGAAAATGCCTAGACAGTCAGGTTCATATGCTACACCAAAAATGTGAAAACTATCCCAAAATAAGGGGATGACAGGGTTTGCAAGATAACACCATCTATAGCAATAATGGTCTATGAAAGAAGCGAAACCAACGAAGGCATTCCAACAGGAAACAAAGCACTTCAACCATAAAGTTGAGTAAATAAGAACTAAGAAAATAATCACAGTCCATTGCAAATAAGCTATCGCAGCACAGCCCGTTTAATTCAATGTGAGTTCAACAATCAAATTCTTAAAGTTGAAAAGCAAAAAGTTTGATAGGACTTGGTGAGAGACCCCGTCGTTTGTTCTAATGTCAATTCAAGTCTATTTATCTGTTTTTACTAACTAGATCATAAATGTCACAACTACTAATCGAATTGGAAGAGTTAGAATGTTATCTTTGCAATCACCGTCATATCGTTATTCCTAGCTCCCAGAGGTGCATTTTTTGGACCTTTTGATAAGCATTCAAATGACCTGACGTGGAGGAGTTATGAAAAAAACCTCACCTAAAAGGCGTGGGCCTACGACGTCCAACAGGTCCAGAAATAGCAGCCAACGAGTCGGCTAATTCAGCTTCGTCAACCTCTTTAATGGTACGAGGATGCGATGATAACATCGAAAGAGGGACGGCATGGGAAGCACTGGGAGGTTGCTGCGCAAACCTTGCATCCGCCTCCTCTTCCTCTTCTATTTCTATATTCTCTAGGTCATCAGGGTAGTCGGAAGCGTCCACTGCGTCGACCACAGCGGCTGAGGAGAGCGTAGGAGAGTCATGCGATTCACTTCTGCAATGAGGATTGTCGCTGCTGTTGCGTAGTTGTCTAATGATGTTAAATAAGGAATAAATGGAAGTGATCAGTCCACCCTCCATCTAGAATGCTAAAACTCCGGGCAACGGGTAGCAAAATGACACAAGTCATCCCCAATGTACCACGTTCTAAAGCATCTCCCATTCAAATTCCTATTTCAATAACATAGCCTAGTAGATTGATAGCCAGACCATTCGAATAAGCGTACCAAGCTCTAAAACACTTCATACCGGAAAAATTACACCAACATCATTCACACATGCGCGGTTCAGAGAAAAATTACACCATTGAGAGCGGAGCAAAGTTTGTGTCCGAAATAGTGCGACCAGAGCATTTTACTCTAGCTCGGCTGACTCATTCGTGTTTGACAAAAAAATACTATTTCTGATATGGGTGCACGTTTTGGTGAGTAAGAGACGTATCGATAATGTCCAAAGGTCCAGTTACTGACCATACTTTTGCAAATTCAGTTCTCTCCTTTATATCATGGCGCTCCTCCTTGGCTATAGCATCATTGTTCTTCAAGTACAAAACTTTCTCGACATTGATAGCTTAAATCGCTTTCAGAGATGATTCGAGGTGCTACATTAATAGCAGCTGCGGGCACGCAAAAATATCCAAATCTTGATAGCTTGATAGTAATGCCCAACCTTGACAGAAGAAGGCATGTGGCATAAAGGTAATGCCAAAAAGTGGGATTCCATTCGATCAAGGCCAATCTGGTTCTTCAAGCGATAAACTTTAGTGTTTTCGCGACCAGGTATAAGTAAAAACTGATACATCAAAGATATAAAATCAACGAACGAGTAATTAAAATAACAGCGCCATAAAAGAATAAAAAAATTTCAGTTGTGAAATTGTATAAGGTTTTGGAATCCTAATCATTGCTGCCCTGTGGAGGGAATAGGCATCAAACCTGCCTTGTAACAAGGACCATTTTCAAGAAAAATTGTCCAACGAACCAAGCTGACCAATGAAGACTAAGAGAGGAAAGAAGAGTAGAGGCATGAAGACCAGACTGTCGCTTGCCTGTCCGTCCTTCCGTGCATGCATGCGTGGGTGGGTGCTCGTGCGTCAGTACGCCCACTCGCCCAAGTTCGTGAGTCATGATGCTTACATTTGTGGGTGTTTTGGTAACCCAAACACAACAGCACAACAGACCCAATGTGCACATGTACTAGTCACGACAACAGCTGAAACATTCGGTGTGTTTGTTTGCTTACGTACCCCTGAGAGGTTGAACAACTGTTGTTTGCACTCCTGGAGTCTGATTGAAATAGATGGGTGATCTATTTACAACATGATCAGGGAAATAGAACGAAAGGGAAAGTGACCCTTGAAAATAGGATTCAGACTTAAACACAGGGTCCGCATACAATTACTTTTTTAAAACTAGTTGTAAGAATCACTGCTCACAGGTGTCGCTCTCAGGTTTCGAGCGATATGAAATCCAACTCTTAATTAGTACTAAGTGATATTTGCAAGAGTGCAATCAACTACAATAATTTACGTCTGGAACCATGACCACTGAGCCAACAGAGTCCTAGAAGCTAGGCTAACTATATTGTGTTCAGGCAGGGAGAAAGCTGCAAAGCTGTTTCCATTTGAATGTGCGTCCAACTTACACGACAAACCATTTATGAGCTCATTACTAATGAACAAAATTCGAATGCGTCTTCCACTTCACGCACATACGAAGCAAAAATCGGGGCAAAAAACATGCTAAGTTGGCAAAGCTTCTACAGAACGTGGAAAACAAAGTAAGCCAATTCTGAGTTAAAAACAATGGCAAACCTCAAAATACAATGAGAGTTAATTTGCACATTTCATTTGTCTAAAAGTGAGCTTTAGGCACATTCATTCATTCTCACTAAGACATAAGTTCAATAAAGTGCCAAGGAGGGAAGAGTGAGCTAGCAAACCATCAAGATCCCTCGAGAAATTCAAGCTGAAGCCATTGAGGTGGTAGGAGACAGAAGAACACGAGTACTTCATAGATTTTATTCATTGTCCCGGTGGCATATTATCTCCTCGTGACACTCCTGTGACAGGCCCTCAAGGAGGCCTCACACTACATAACTAATGAAGCTTTTGCGTTTAGTACTTTTGGTTATTCAGTTGGAAGATTGAGAGGCTCAAACAAGCGTGATCGTTCACGGTACAAAGTGATCAAATTTACTACCAATTTGGCCAAAGCCAGCCATAGGTGAAAAGTCTCACTAAGTGAGAGATGCCTTCTCAAGTATCGGTAAATCTAATGAGGGAAATTCAGACTTGCAAAGGTGAAGTTATTATCAAAAACCAGGTGGTTCGAAGCTTTGTCTCAAGAGGGTTCTACATTTACTGTCACTTCAGCGGTTTTCGACCCGAACAAAAAAATTTCCTCGTCCACGAAAAGGGCTCAGTGAATACAGTAAAATGTGAAAAAGGATGGAGGCAAAACGCTGGCTTATACTCTGCTGGCCAGTGAGGAAA